AGAATTGGAAATTTGAAAATTGAAAAAACTTAATTTACTAATTAAAAATTTTATACAGTATTTTAATATCTCAGCTAAGTAATTAATTAAGGCAAACGCATATAGATCATTTCTTCCTCTTTCAAACTGAACCTTATCACACTTACCCTAATAAACCAGCTGTTATGTAAAGAACATAGATACTACTGGAGTCCAGAGTGAACGTGAATATGATCATGCCAAGGAATGAAAGCAAATACACTCCAAGTGTCGTCTCTCTGTAAATCAATTTTAGAAAGTTACATTTATCTTATAGAAATCTCGCGTATATTTCACAATTCAAATACATTAATTATAATTTACAATAATTAATACAAGCCTCAAGTTAATATTTAACGAAATCCATACAAAAGCGTGAACGAGGAAGATATTCACTCACTTGAATTTGTGCGTTTTGTCGAGCACGATGCCACACACCACAGAGCCTAACATTCCAGCACAGACTATGGTTAAACCTATTCTTCCAGCGTCCTCCTCGTGATTCTGACAACGAATTATCAACATTTTTTTATTTATGACAAAATAAACAAATAAAATAAAAATACACACATCTACTCTGTAATACAAATACTCACAGGGAAATATTTAAGGACTATGCGATTCAGAAGCGTGCTGATAGCATAGAAAACACCCACGTTGATGCCATAACTGAGCAGGAGCAACAAGTATCCAGCGTTTGTTATCAATTTCTTCACAGAGACGAAGAAACACTCGGTCGATTCAGCTTCTCTTTGCACAGCTTGAGCAGGGCTTGGTGGAAGTGGTGGTTCCGACTTGAAAACTGAGATAAAAAATCAACTTTCATTCGTTTTTCATTCAAGATTCCAGCCTTTCGTAAGTTGCAAAATAAATTAAAAAAAAAAAAGAGATAAGATACAGTGACTCCTACTAATATTCGGCCACTCTTCAGAACAGTGCAACTTTTTCAAAATTCGACCTAACGACTTGGATTTTTCTGAGAAGTTGGAAGAACTAGCGCACCAAACGACGCGTGCAAAAATTTTTGAAAAAATTGCCTAGAAAATTGCAAAGGTCACATTTAACAGCTTCTTTATCTGAGCTCGTAATGGAACTTAAAAAGTATAATTATCGTATACGTACAGAGAAGTATGAGGAGAAGAATGACCGTGGTAAAAGCAGCCACGATATAGAACATCACTTGCAGCTCTCGTCCGCTGATTTCTCGATCATTGCTGTTCTGCACGAGCATCGGTGGAAAGAGGAAACCGATCGCTATACCCAACTGAAAGCAACGAATCGCAGAGTGAATCTTCCGTTAAAAAAAAACGTAAATAAAAATTTCGAAAAATCGCAGAATCTTTGAAGGAATCACTCAAGAAGATACGATTTATCACGGTGAGTTTATTCCAACGACACGAATTGTGATCGCGAAAGTAGTATCGTCCAGAGAGATTCTCCTCGTCTGTTATTATTATTCCAAGGAAGTAGGAGATCATTATTCTTTTCAGCCCATCACGACCGATCTCGACGAGAGTTCCGCTCTCGAAAGCTCGCGAGTATATACTTGCACGACGAGACACAAGCACGTCTGGTCTGTCGACACAAAAACGCAAATAGAATCTTTCAGGGCGTTCGATCAGAATTTTCAAAGAGAGCAATTCATTTTGAAGGTAAAGAAGCTGCTTTAGAGTCTCAAGTGAGAAAGATTATCCCTTCTATCAAAGAAAATGCTGTCTTCGAGAGAATTTGATCTAGACATTTTAAGGAAACAATTGAAAACTGTTCTGTCACTCCTGTTATATTCATTTTATTATTTAATTTATTATTTTCCCGATTAAAACAGCTACATACTTGTAAAGGGGTACTCTAGTCTAGAGTGTCATTTGTTACTCCTTCTTAGGGATTTTTTTGTAAGGAAAGTATAAGTTTCTCGGTATCGGCATTTTGCATACGTATTTATTCGTGTTTTAAGAAAGTTCACAATTTTTTTCAAGCGAAAATAATCAAAACTGTGTGAATTATGTCATTCGGTCCCTTTAAAAAGAAGTGTCCTACTGGCCGACACGATTCCGCCCGTTCTGTTTATCCGAACTGAGAAAACCAAAAGGATTCTTGATTAGTACGGCTGTGACTGTGGTGTGCACCAGAATGAAAAAAAGATAGTGAGAATTTACAAAACGCCGACACTTTGAATTTTGAATATCGATTTCTTCGACTTTTTTTCGTCTTTCAGAGGCTCTAAAAATCAAAATAGTGAAAATTTACAAAACGCCGGCACTTTGAATTTTGAATATCGATTTCTTCGACTTTTTTTCGTCTTTCAGAGGCTCTAAAAATCAGAAAAATACATATTTTGGCACAATTCTGGCTCGGACGATAACAGCACATCCGCTGAAGGTGCGTGCAAAATTTGGAGTCAATCGGACAACTAGAACTTGAGGTATCATGTCGGCCATTTAGAGAAGCATGCTTTCGAGAAAAACGCGTTTTTCCAGTTGGTTTCTTTAACCGTCTATAACTTCGTCAATTTCACGAATTCGGAAAAGTCCTCCGACAGTTACACTTCTGCAAATCTCTACTTCAAGAAAATGTAAAAAAATAGAATCGACTTTCCGAGACGTCTAGACTAGAATACCCCCTTAAAGGTCCCAGTTAAAAAAGATTGAAACAAATCACTGAAACTACACACGCACACGCTACAGCTGGTCAATTTTCTACATGGATCTCGTAACAAAATAATCTCGTGCACCTTGAATAGATTATCTCGACGCGAGAAGAGGGTTGCACCGTCGTTTAATTCGCTGGATTGGGTCCAGATCCCCCTGTACGAGCCACGAAATGAAACGTGGGTGCACGGTTCGACTCTGTTTCCCACCTAATCACCGCTTAACTCTACCAACGACCCTGTCCCTCGAATTAGAATTTTACCATGCAGGTAGTGTGCACTCGAGTCTCGCCTACAACCTCGTTAACAAACCTACCACGAGGACGTTTACAGTTCCGTTTCACCGTTCTACCGTTTCACTAAATCTCACCTGTTGTACATACCGGCCAAATGTTCGTAACCACTGTGCGTTACAAGTAATACAAAAGTTTCCGGACTAAAGTTGGCAATTTTAAGAATATTTTAACCAACTCAAATCAATCGTAAAACACTATCGATCTCCGCAACATCAATTTCAAATCTATAAAGAATTAGCAGCGGATTCAATTTTACCGTAAATTAGCAGGTGATTCGAGACTTTTGGCCGGTAGTGTATATACCCTGCGATTTTTATTTCACGCTTTATTTGCGCTTCAGATTCTTCGGGAACGATTTTCCTTTTTAAGTTTGAAAGAAAACGATGTAAATTTTTGTGTAGGTACAGTTTTTTTTTTTTCACTTTAAATCGACAGCAACTGGAGATCTGAAATAGCGGAATTTTTGAAAGGTCTAAACGAAGCACTTGATGTGAATTTTTGGTAAAATAAATTTTCTGCGTCGGTGTTGCTGGGAGAAGCTAGAAACATTGGTGTAACTGAGAAAATATCCCACATTTCGACACAAAAATTTTAATATACACTACCGGCCAAAAGTTTCGAATCACCTCCCTTAAATCTGCTGCTAATTTTTTATAAATTCGAAGTTTATCTCAATTCTACATTTATCAATTGATTCGAACGATAAAAAATTCTCAAAGTCGCTGACTCTTTTCTGGAAATTTTTCTGTAAATTGCAATGCTCGGTGATTCGAAACTTTTGACCGGTGGTGTATACAATATCTTAAGCTGTGATTGCGTGAAATATTAATATCTTCTTTTATATAAATACTAATTTCCTGTAATTTAGGAGTAAAAGAAATCACTGCAATTTCTCAGAGAGAATTGTAAAAATGGACTCCAAAGTAAACTTTCAGCAAAGTTTCTCGAGGGAACTTTTCGAAACACAAATGAAAATTGAAATTGCATCGGCATAAAGATCGCCCTGCCCGGAAATTACACGATAAACCGAACGGACGTTGAACTTTCCGACAACGATTCGTCCGATCGTCTATTATATTGTAATAATAAGGAGCGTCTATTGTAAGGTAGCGATCGTGGTTTAAAATTGGCGAGATAGGGAAGTTGTACAGGGTTGGAAGTACCTTAATTAATTGGACAAGCCGCAGAGAATTTCCTCTAATTGAACAATGTTCGAGGAAAGGACACGAGGGATCAGTGAGCTCGTGAAACTCAAATTAATTCAAGTAGTGCACTCTGAAGAACTCATTTGACGGCCTTTCACTGCTACTCGGATATGTCGTTAATCAAGAATTTCGTTAATTCACCTTCTTTCGTCTCTTGCAGATCATTTTGAAGGAAACTTTGCAAAGATTATAATTCGCCGATGACGTTGAGAATAAAAACACAGTAGTTTGGCTATAATTTTTAGACTTTCTGTGTAAAATTCGGGAATATCATTGGTTGAAGTTTGGAACTACTGTGCATTGAAAATTGTACAAGAATTTGCGGAAAAAATTTATCATCGCTGCATTGCAAATTATACAAGAGTTTGCAGAAAGAAATTACTATCACTGTGCATTGCAAATTGAACAAGAGTTTCTAGAAAAAATTGCAATTTAACCCTTTAACCTATGTTAGGGATCGGGTTTACGACATGGACGCCTGTTTACGCTATTTTTCAATGCGCCCCTTTTCTTCTTCGCGTTAATTAATTTTTCTTTCAAATTGGCCACGAAGCCCAGGAAGCGTTTTATATAAATTTTCTGCGGGCCACATACCTTCCCGGTGCCCACTCGTGAACATTCAATAGACATGGACATGTCATAAAACCTGTCGCGTCTCCCTGACCGCCCAAAGTCTCGTTACGAGCGGGCCACCCTTGGGCCTCATACCGCCACCCTGCCAACTTGGAAATTCCAGGGTGGGCGGTCCAAGAGGGTGGACCCGTCCTCGTTGGCGGAAACCACCACTTTGTACCCGTACACCCATTTATAAATAAGCGCACCAATGCGGCAGAAAGACAGATCAAAAAGGGAAAATAGACAAGTAGCACGTAACGAACACACACCACCAAAAATTGTCACTCTTCGACATAAAGCCTTTGTCTTGCAACATATTAAAGTACGTGCAAACTCTAAGTCACCACGACTTCACACCAAGAACCACCGACAATCCTACGCCACCACTCTCGAGCGTACCGCTTGTTCGAAGCGCACGACGCAACAACCTACAGCAACGTGTCAGACTCGTGGTAGAGATTCTGGTGAAGATGTGAGAAAAATTCATCGTAATCTTAGCTTTCGTTTGACTTCGTAAGACTGAGCGTTGCTAAGGACGCAACAACCTACAGCAACGTGTCAGACTCGTGGTAGGATGTGAGAAAAATTCATCGTAATCTTAGCTTTCGTTTGACTTCGTAAGACTGAGCGTTGCTAAATGTAATTAATCTGTGACAGATTAGTTTCTGTTACCTGATACAGTACTGAAACCGTAAATGGCCGACGCTTAGATGCACAGTCAGAAAAGAAATCATAGGTTAAGGGGCTAAGAAATTTATCATCACTCAAATCTATCGAAACGAAGTAAATCACTTCATCGCAGTAATTCGAAATTCGTAAAAAATTGGTAGCAAACTCATTAGGAGCGTAAATTGAGAAGAAGTGCCAAAATTTTGGTCTACAGTGTGCGTTTTCCATTTGAAAATTCGCCGAATGATTTAGTACGAACGTATATAATATGTTGAAATTAAAAAGAAAAGTTGTAATTTTACAACGGAGATAACGAGGAAGTTGGTTGAGAAGTTTCCAACTCGTGACTGACCTGATTTCCAAAAACTCCAATGCTGCACGCGCTGCTGACCTGGTCCGGGCCGAACCAAACAGCCGCCAAACGTGCTGGAACCGATAGAACGAAAGTTTGACTCACAGCGACCATCGTTTGGCCGACAAGAGTCACCCAGAACCTGGATGGATCCACGCTGAACACTTTAATCCATGATCCAAGAGCTGTGCCAACTGCTCCCATCACGACGGCTAACCTGAGGCCCTGGAAATCGATTTGGAAAAATTCTTTGCTGTGCAACATTGAAATAGACGTAATCGTTGGAAATTTATTTCCTATAGAAACATTGAAATCAATGAAATTTGGAAAAATTTAGTTGTT